TCCTCCTGCCCCACCCCGCCCCTCCCTCCAGACCACCTTCAGCGGCAGCCACTGTGGCTGCGCCACCCAGCCGCGGTTGTCGCTGCTAAAACCCCTTTTTTTTTCAATTTTAATTAACAACTTTTGTTAAATAAAATTAGTGTGGTCCATGATAAATTAAAGCATAACTTTTATGCTAATTCATCCTATTAAAATTAAATTCACAATCTAATTTTAAAACTAGGGTTCTTCATGAAAAAAAATAATCCCCAATTTAATTTAACTCTTAAATTAAATCATTAATCATGCAAAATTCATAATTTATACATGAAATCAATGGTATTAAAATCATGAAGCATATTTAAAACGAATTTAATCAAAACCAAAACACAAAATTCATAATTTAGGGTTAGGGTTTCGAAATTTTTGAGTGATTAGGGGCAAAATTCGGATCTCTTCATGGCTATTTTGAGCATTATTAAATCAAATTTAATCAATTCCAAGAGTTAAATCACATTTAATATAATAATTGACCCATAATTAAGTTATTCTCCCTCGTAATTGAATTAAAATTGTGGACTATCAAAGAATTATAGTCAATATGTGTAAATGCAATAGGCTAACTGATAACACTGTAGGGGTTTATAGGTACTACGCAGCGGAAATACATGAATCATATTCATACAGTACCTAATCCCAAGATCTAATGCATAACACATAAAGAACATATAATCGTACCTTTGAAGCGTGATTCCACGTGCGATCGAGCAAGAACAATGGGAGATAAAGAACCCCAAGCGTGATTCTCTACTTAGTCCACGAGCATGGATTAAACCTCTACTAATGCTAGTTAGTTGTGACTGAACACTTCAATCAAACTTCAACGGAGATTTGAGCCACGAACACACCACAACACCACCCACGCGCCACCACACGCGCCACCCACAAGGGACAGGGAGGAGAGAGAGAGGGCCGAGTAGAGAGAGAGAGTTAGGGTTTTGGGAAGCTTGGTTGCTTGTGTGTCAATTTACTGTATGTCAACTGTTGTTTTTTTATGCAACCCTAGGCATGGTTTATATTTATAGATCATATCTAGAAATCAAACCATGTCAAGTCCAAAACCCATTAGACCCTTCTAACTATCCAAGCCCAATCATCAATATGGTATGTCATGAACTCATGAGGCCCAATAATGGGCCTCTAACTTGTTTAACCCAATACTCTTATGTGTGACCTTGTAGGATCCATTCTATAAGGCTTTGGGCTATTAAGCTAGCCCAAAGATCAATTGTCATATCTAGCACCAAACATTGACGACCCTATAGAATAGACTAATTATCTCCATAATTGTGATCCTTGATATATCTAGTAATTGCACTTATCGAAGACATAACTCCTTCAGTATTAGCCGTGTACTTTTATCGAGGCCGTCTGATCTACGAGTCTCCTATTTCAAATATTATTTTTCTAAAACTAGGAGTTAGGTGAGATCTCATACTAACTACGGTCACGGAGTCGCGCCCGTGGTCATTGGATGTTTATTGATGTTTCCGAAAGGAGGCATGGGGTTTTTCTTTTATTGATGTTCCAAATGGGACATGGGTTGGACAACCTTGTCATTGCTAAATCCAATGAAATAAATAAATGAGTCAGTTAATATCAATTAGTGAGGTCTTAATAAATTTGATAATCGAGTCATGAATTGAGTCTGTATTTAATGATGCTTGTGATTGATTAGTAGTAGCATGTTAGATATTTTCTTAATTTATTTCGCAACTTGTATGTACTCAGCTTTGCTGACTGCGTGCTTTTGTGTGTGTCTTTCTTTGGTCATGGCCTTCGCCTTTCAATGACCATGTGACGATCCAATTTTTACACTTGTAATATTGGGGAGCAGAATAACCACAGATTCTTACACATGCACCATTCATCAGGGTTGTGGGATCTTAAGTAGAGAGTTGGTTGTTTGCATTTTATTTCTTTTGCAAGTTTGAATTTATTTTAATTCGATTTTATTTGACACTAATTCTTTTGGGTTTGAATTTATTTGAACACTGGATTTAATCACTTACTACTTTTATTGGGTTTTGAATAAGGGCCTTAATGGTTCCAACATGTAACACTTATTTTGATTTAATTCTTTTGTTTTGAAGTTTATTTATAACTGTTTTTGTTTTCCGCTGCTAATTTCTGAGATAGCCTTAACATTTGAACACGTGGCGGTAGCACGCCAGTAATTCTCTTGAAATTGTTCAGGTTATATACATGTTTCTCACAGGTTTTTAAGAGAGAATTATTGGAGTGTTACAATGTTAGGATTTGCGGTGTCCGATACCGCACGGAAACAATACTTGATAATCAGATCGCATGCATAATAATTACAACATAAACAAAAGCATGCAAATAAACAAAACACAAGAGAAGAGAGAGAATAAAGAAAGAATACTCACCCTAGAAGTGTGCTTTAATTCGATCAACCGACGAGCTCGGACTTGAAAGTTTCAAGTTTTGCAAGTGCGAGAATCTCCAACGACTCACACCCTCACTACCGAACCAAACCAGCCCCTACCCCGAAGCTTAGTTGAGGCTAGACCAAAATAACTTAGAGTTTACGAACAAAGGTTTTCTCTCTTTGGAGATCCCTCAAAGTTCACCAACTCAAGTGTCAAATCCCAATGCCAAATGATTAGTATTTATAGGGAATAGTGCCCAAGAATTCCCATCATCTTTTAATGCGGGATAGTTGGTAAACAGGCAAAATAAGATTTAATTTAATTCCATATTAAATTAAAAGGCCAAAATAATCACCAAGCAACATGTGTCACATGGAAAGTAAGGGGTTAGGTGAGGACCACAAGGGGGAGACCACCTTCCCCTTGCTCCCCAGTTAATCAACATGCACCAACCAACACGCGCCAGCTGGCGCCCGACCTTGGGCACCAAGGCGCGCCTAGCTAGCAACCTAGTGCTCGACTACGCCTTCTAGTGTGGCTCGCTTGTGCGCGTGGCCCAACTAGCATGCCATGCACCAAAGTGGGCTGCTGCTAGGCGCTGCTATGCGCCTGCAAGGCTCAGCACGCCATGGCTGGTTGCTGGCCTTGCTGGTGCGCTGTGCGCGCATGGCTCGCAAGCCTCGATGGTGCGCCATGCTTGCTTGGCCCTTGCTGGCTTGCGTTGCTCGCAAGGCTTGCTCGGCCAGTACGCTCGGCCATGCGGTGCATGCTAAGCTTGCGGCCGAGCCTTGCCTTGAGGCAAGGGCTTTGGCTAGAAGTGCTTGCGCACCTAGCCCTCTATTGTTAGGCCATTCCAAGGCTAAGATTTTCACAAGTGTTGACTTGTTGTTTGACTGATTTTTTCGTCTCGTTGATTCCTAAATTCGACTCGACTTACGACGCTCGGCTTCGACACTTTAAGCTTGGACTCCAACATATTTGTTCGTAAAATCTTTATCGACATAAAGCACACCCACCAAAAAAAATCTTAATCCATACCCTATGGTTCATTTAATTGAGGTTTAACGTTTAGTTAAGTAATAATGACTAAGAAGGTAGCAACCATTATTCAGTAAGGGCGTTTGTGAATTTATGCATAACTAAGGAATCTTTGATGAATTTCAAAATTATTGAGGGTATTTCATAATTAATGAAAAATTCAAGGGCGTTTCATAGAAATACTGTAAATAAAAACAAGGTTAACCAATTACATTAATCACACATTAAGCTAAACTAAAGCACTAAATGTAGTAGAAATTTCTTTTATTAGCCCTTGATTGTTGAGATAGATTTACTGAAACACTTAAGAACTCTTTGCATAATTTCCTTATCAGAGTTTTAGAAAAAGTTATTATAATTAAAATATATACTCGCTTACGTGGTGACAAAAGTATTCATGATGTATGTTCCCTTGAAAATCCGTAAGGTTACGTTTGGATACACATATTTCATTTCAAATAACTGGTTTCAAATTCAAAATTTGAAATTTCATAATTCAGTTTGAAATTAGAAATGATGTTTAGGGGTGAGTAGAATTTGTAAGGATGGAATCAAAAAATTTAATGTCCATAGTATCACTTATTAGACTTGTATTATGGATAATTTATTAAAGCACATAAATAAAGGGAAAAAAATCAACTTAAACTAGTAATATCCTCTGATTATATTTGATTTAGAAGGAAGTAAAGCCCCAAACCAAAAAAATTACCAAAAAATTTTAAAATAGATAAAGTCCCCTAAATTTAGTCTTTCAATGATGGAGACTTTGGGAGTGATGTTTGTATGTGTAGCACAATATCACCATGTTCTTTGAGCATTCAAATTGTTCGAATTAAATTTTCGGGAGATAATGTGATATTTTCCAATAAAAAAATGATTTTTTAAATGAATCTCCCTGTCTATATAAAGCGGATAATATTTAAAATTCTAATTAAAATTACAAACCCTAAATTTTGCCCCAAAATTAATACTTGGATAGAAAATAATAATTTATATGAAATCAAAAGGTTAAACTTGAAATGTACATTAGATCGAACTAATACCTTATAAACATCAAGGCTTGTTTTTAAAAATCATCAAAAATATGGGTTTTTTGCGGCAATTAAGTGACGAAACACTACCTTAACAATTACGATCAACAATAATGGATAAGGAATTATCGCAGTGGCAAAGCGACGATGGTAACAAAGGTAGAATTTTGGTGGCTGGATCGGTCCATCGGTGGTTCAAGAGAGAGGAGGAGAGCAGGAGAAGAGAGTACGTAAGAGAGGAGAATTTGTTGGGTTGAGGAGAGAGAAGGAGTAGACAGTATGTGAGAGAGGAGAGCGAATTTGAAATGACAAAATTTTGGGTTGGATTTTAAATTTTGAAAGATTGACTAATTTTTTAAAAAGGCATGAAATTGGACCGATTCTAAATCCAAATTCTTGGGCTAGCCAAATATTATATTTGCCCCAATTCTAGCATTTCAAATGAAATGTCTGTTTCCAAACAAGCCATAATAGATAGTGAAGATACCAATAAAAGAGTGGAATCGGGAACAAATAAAAAGTAATTTGGACCATACTTTTGCAAAGACAAAATTTTGTTCTTCTATTTTTCAAAAAATTATTGCTCATCAACTTCTATAACTTTTTTCTTTTTATTTTTTTTTGTGTGTGTGTGTGCGTTTTCTTTGGTAAGTTTAGTGGAAGATATAAGGGTACGATGGAATCTCGTCAAAATAACCTTCATTTTACCGTATGAGCTAAAAAAAAATGGTAGTGAGACAGAGATGCCAAAAGTTGCTTTAAATGCATTCTTTCAACCGTGGTAATGCCTTAAGTACCTTAAATGAACACTTGTTAACTAGATAAGTAATCTTATCCATTATAAGATCATTCACTCTTATATTTGAAAGTCAAGATCTTTCATTATCATTTTTGCAAGACTTAGTGGAAAACAATTCATTTCGAAGAGATGTAAAGTATCATCATCTAACATCAGTTATGACTGATGACTAAATCAGACTAACTTGAGTCGGGTTGATATTACCTTATGTCCGAATGTCCCTATCCACCCCGATAAAAATAATCCAAATCAAAATTAAAAAAAAAAAAAAAAGGAAGGAAATGACAAAGAAAGAAAGAACAAACAATGAATACGATGCCCAAGTCCATAGGGGACACATCATTTGCAACCCTTGGTTTTGTACTCCCTTCCCTTCATACACTCCACATTCCACATTCCCTCATTTCTTTCTATCATCTCTCTCCTCTCATCCCACCATCCTTTTTATTGTCCTTCTATAATTATACTACTATATTAATCAATTATTTTTCTATTAAAAAACTGTTTTTTTTAAAAAAAAAAAAAATTATTTGATTACTTACAGCCTCATGTCTGTCAATTAAAGTTGATGAATGTTTATGGTTGAAAAACTAGAGGGAATGAATGCTGTAATTGATCATGATGATGATTCTGAAGATTCCTCTGATTATGTTGAGCGTGATCCCACTGGAAGATATGGAAGAGTATGTCCCCCTAATCTGATGACTTTTTTTTTTCATTTTTTTGATTAATTAATGCCATTTTAATTAATTACTGTATTTTTTTTCCTGCAGTATAATGAAATTCTGGGCAAAGGGTCTTCAAAGATAGTGTAAGCAATCAATTTTTATTTTTATTTTTCTTTTTTCTGGGATTGTCTTATTTTAATCTTAATTATGCAAAACAATTTTTTTTTCAAGAATTTGAGCTTGATTTGCATATGTTCTAATCTGGGTCTTTTTCGATTGTCAAGAATTGTAGCTTTAATTTGCCAATTTTTGTTAAAAAAAAACTCAATTTTGGAATTTGGGTAATTTTAATTGTCCAGATATTGAGCTTAATTTGCATTTTATTTCATTGGGTATTTCTCATTTGTTAATAATTGAGCTTAATCAGCCAAAAAAAAAAAAAAATCTGGAAATTGGGGTTTCTTGCATTAACTTGAGCTTATCTACAATTTTATTTAATTGGGTAAGTTGTTTTGGTCAAGATTTTGTATTTAATTTGCAAAAACATTTAAAATAAATCCAATTCAAGATATTTAATAATTATTCTCTGCATTTTCCTAAAAAGAATGTTTCCTTTTGCGTTGATTTTTTGCAGGTACAAAGGGTTTGATGAATATAATGGAACTGAAGTGGCATGGAATCAAGTTAAGCTTACAGATTTTCTGCAAAGACCTGAAGATCTTGAAAGGCTTTACAGTGAAATCCATTTACTCAAAACCTTAAAACATAAAAATATTATGAAGTTTTATACTTCTTGGGTTGACATTAACAACAGGAACATCAATTTTGTCACTGAAATGTTCACCTCTGGTACTCTCAGACAGTAAGTTTCTTACTTTTACGGATTCGATTTTATTTAGTCAATTATATCAAATCATATCATATTCCAATGCTTATCTACTAGTCTTTTCATTTGGATGGATGTCGTCATGAATTCAAATTACACTATCAGCGTGACTATTAATTCTAGTCTTTCGATTTTTTGCTTCATATGTGCTGTTTTTACCTATGTGGTAAATTTTTAATTGTTGTTGGTGGATATGTTTGATGATAGGTATAGGGTGAAGCATAAGAAGGTTAATATTAGAGCAGTAAAACATTGGTGTAGGCAGATCCTAGAAGGGTTATTGTATCTTCATAGTCATAACCCGCCGGTGATACATAGAGATCTCAAATGCGATAACATTTTCATTAATGGGAATCAAGGCGAAGTCAAGATTGGAGATCTTGGCCTAGCTGCCATACTCAGGAAATCCCATGCGGCCCGTTGTGTTGGTAAGTTTGAGCTGTACTCTTAATTATTGAAACTGCCTTGGATGGTAATTATAATTTTTTATTTATGGTATATAGTATTGTCAATGCAATGATTGCCCTTTTTGTCTAATAATAGCTTCATTAGTTCTCAAAAATAATAGCGACTGCTATTATTCATACATTTGTTTATAGCAGATTTCACATACTATCTTATTCAAATAGTGCTGATCATTGTTCTTGCTATTGGGTGATTCCGGAGTCTCAATTAATAATTCACATGATAATTGATGGAAGGCGATTAGTAGTCTCTTTACTAATGCTACCAAATTATGCAAATGCTACATCTATTATTTCAGGTACGCCTGAATTCATGGCCCCAGAGGTTTATGCCGAGGAATACAATGAACTAGTTGACATTTACTCCTTTGGGATGTGTGTCCTAGAAATGGTTACCTTTGATTATCCTTATAGTGAATGCACACACCCTGCTCAAATCTACAAGAAAGTAGTTTCTGTAAGAACCCAGGAACACCCTCTTATGTTTACTTCCGGACTAGTTTGTATTTTGAATTAACTTAATTAATTAGTGTATTTTTTTGTTATAGGGTAAAAAGCCAGATGCTCTTTACAAAGTGAAGAACCTGGAAGTGCGGCTCTTTGTTGATAAATGTTTAGCAACTGTTTCAGCTAGATTGTCTGCAAAGGAGCTACTAGAAGACCCATTTTTGCGATGTGATGATGACGGATATGATTTTAGGCCAATTGATTTTGACAAAATAAGTCCAATTGTTCAAATACCTTGCCAAAATGACAGGAATAGTAGTAGTGGCTGTGACTATGCTGGCTACGAACCTGACCATGAACATGAGTACCAAACACTAGAGTTGGCAGCCAACGAAATTGAGCTATTTACTTTTCTTGAAGATGATGATCTGAAAGATATGGACATCAGCATCAAGGGGAAGAAAAGAGCAAATGGTGATATATTCTTAAGACTCAGAATCACTGATAAAGAAGGTAAGGGTTTTGACTTTTATTTTCTGTTTTGTCAAATAGCTTCTTTAGGAAGCTTATATGATTACTTATTTTCTTACAGGGCGAGTGCGAAATATCTACTTCCCTTTCGATGTTGAGACGGATACTGCTATGAGTGTTACAACGGAAATGGTTTCTGAGCTGAGTATAAAGGAAGATGACATGAAGAGAATAGCAGATATGATTGATTGCGAGATTACTTCCTTAGTCCCTGACTGGAAGAAGAGTTCATATGTAGAAGAAGCTGCCGAGTGTGAAAGTGTAAACGAGGCTGTTGAATGTAGAAGCATAGACGAGGCCGCCGAGTGTGAAAGCGTAAATGAGGACAATGATCGTTTGACTGAGCATTTTTCTTTAGCAGATTATCTTTCCTTTGGCAGCCCCAGGCCCCGCAATCTCCAACTCCTTCGTTGTGCTAGTCATGGGTCAACATCTATGCGTGGACGTTTTGAGGAGATAACTTATCCATCCGAAGCTGATCTAACAGATTCTGGTGTGAAACTGAACACAGAGACAGTGGGTCATCATCATCGACGACCCAGCTTAAACTTCCATTTTGGTGAAACCTTTGAATCACAAGATCAATCAAGTTTAGAGAAAGATAAGAGGGCCACAATTACTTATATTCAAACTCAAACGCCTTATAACTCCCCCACAAGCTCCATTTTAGACGAGAGGGAGTATGAGAATGAGGCAATGAAGGAGCTTAGATGGCTGAAAACCAAGTATGAGATACAGCTAAGAGAACTGAATGATGAAAACTCCGGTGCAGATATGAAGACACGTTACTTAGCTGCAGAAAAGGACTACAATTTGAAAAGGAGCATGAAGATATCCTTTCATCCATTGGAAAGAGGATTAGATGTGAAAGATCTGAAGAAAGCATTGGAAAAGCATTTTACGCCTCAATTTCCTTCAGCCTATGGTAAGAGGAAGATCCCCAATTTGCGCACTCGAATGCTTCAAAGTGAGTGTTGCAGCCCAGATAATATGGGGGCTGCTAACAACTATTATACGGGAGCAGCCATGCTTCCACATTCTCTTCAAAGAACAACTTCACTACCCGTTGATGCTTTAGACTTTTAAACCACCCATTATAAATTACCTCTTTTTCCTTGTGATTTTACTGTTAGTCTTGTACAATATTGTCTTCAGTAAACACTACAAAGTACATGCATTTTTTCCTCCCGTGGATGGAGAGATTCAATGATATATTCGAATTGTGAATATGTGATAATAATCTGATATGGACCTTCTCTTTGGAACTCTGTAACTTTTACTTGTTTAGATAGATAAAAAAAAAGTGTAATGTTGTCTATTACAGTAATATAACCTATTCTTTCATACTTCATAGCATGCAAGCTAAGATATTACAAGAAATTCTGTGCGTGTTGTTATCCAAGTACCTTCACATTTAGTACCACATCCGTATAGTTTGAGGATTTTTATTCCACTCCTACATTTCCCATATCTGTGATCTGCTCTGTATGTTACTATGTTAGAATAACTTAAATGGTAAATAGCCTCAATGGCTTCATAGATCTCGAACATTTGAATTTGTACTTGAAGGCTTGAAGTTAACCAATGTCTTCCATAAAATTGTGCTGATTTCATTTTCCACTAGCTCTCTTAGGACTACAAGGAAACACTAGTGTTAGTAATTATTTAGGAATAAAGCAGTGCTTGTTTAAATCCTAACTATTACTAGAAATATGGCATAAGCAGCAGAAGGTGGATGATTATGTTTTGCAATCCGATTTCCATTTTGCAGTAAGGAAGGTGGGAACTGGACTGATAAAAGTTGACAGCATCACTGTGGATGTAATCCCCGGTTTACATCTTGCCATACTACTACAATTTTGGTCTAAGGCTTATTGTTTGCACTCTGCACTTATCTTTCCTGAGACAGTGGAACTCTCGGATCAAATTGTGAACCAAGCCTGTATATCATCATTTCAAAGTTCATGTGCTGAAAATATTGTCTGCTTTGTTAATAAAATGAAAAGTCTTAGGTTTTCTTTGCAGAATTAGTTGTGAAATCTTGGTACATACATTATACCTATATACAAATACAATAGTGAGTAATTTTGTATTAGAGCTATATACAACAGTGAGTAAATTTGTATTAGAGCTTCAGTTATACTTCAATTTGATCTGAATATATAGTGTAGTATGTTGTCAGATCATGAGTTTCGAGGTTTACTTCAGTTTAGTATGTTTTCAGAACAGAAGTTTCGAGGTTTACTGCTGGCTTTTCTCTGCTTCGTTGGTCAGATATCACTAGGTTTGATTATAGTAACAATTACATATTTACAATGGAGAATAGTGATGAAATTATATATGCAGCTTCTATCTGATAAATTGATGCAGGAACTTCATGGTGGCGAGACCTTCTATTATCTGCTCGATGGCCTTTACCCCTCTTCACCACCCACCCGCGACAGAAAAGAAGAAGAAAAAAAAAAAAGATAATGCTTTGAATCTTAACGCAAAACTAATAAGCTGAGTGGATGCAATCAGGAAATCATATCGATATCAACACCATCTCGTACATTGATCTGTGCTTGATCGGTCATAGCTCATTACTTGAGCTTGACTTAGGTAATTAGCTACCTGATCCCAGAGGTATGCAAACTTAGTCCGTTCTATTATCATTCCTAATTATATCAAGAGTTATTTTTCGTAATTAGACGAGTCTCTTCTGATTAGTTTGGCGTTTGCATTAGATATTTCTTTCTAGTTGAGATTAACATATCCAGGATTTCATTACTATCATCCTTGATATTTGGACTATTTGGTTATATACTTATATGTGAGGGTGATGGTCCAACCTACTCCAATGTTAGTTAGCCCAACATATGGCCCCTTGTTCATGGAATACATGCAATGCCAGACAATTTGATCACTGTGTTTGATGTGATTTGAGCAGCTTAAAATTACATGGTCCAATGCAAAATTGACCTGATTTGATAGAATCGAACACACTTAAAACCAAATTGTACTTAGCTTAATAATTCAAAACTAATTCGATTTAAAATTATACTACTAAAGTTGACCGTAATCTAATAATTAATCCAACTTGAACCAAAATGATTTGATAAAAATAAAAATCAATCTAATATATATATATATACACAAAGGGGGGTTTTTTTCCAGTGTTTTTAGAGAGCCACGTAGGATCTAATTTTTTCAACGCGCCATGTAGAATTATAAATCTTAGTAGTAGCCAATTAAATAAGAGATTATTAATTTCTTTTAGAATTAAATAATTTAAATGCCATGTAAACAAAATTGGAGAATGAGATTTTTAAGTTTAAATTAATTAAATATTATATATTATCTTTTAATATTAGGAATTTTATCTAAATATATAACAAATTTTAGGCTCATAAATACAAAAAAAAAAACATTATTTAAAAAAAATCAAACAAACCGTGCATCGCACAGGCTTCATCTAGTGTGATTATATAAATGACTCGTTTGCTACCTCCTATGTTACTCAGACTCTTTATTTTACTCAAGTACCAGTGTCAGACCCTCAACACTCAGACGTGGATATGACACTTGGATACTTTATTTTAGTTCAAAATTATAGAATTTTTTCACAAAATAGCTGAGTCAGACACTTATATAGATACTCGTGTCGGACATGAATACCCGAGTCCGAGTAACATAGGCTACCTCTACGCTAATATAACGTTTGTTAGTTATGTGACTAGATTTGATAAGTGAGATATTTGCACAGCCGCCACAGCACAGTAAGAAGTAAGAAAAAGAGAGGATGAACTTGATTGGTTGTACTTTAAAGCATCACAGCTGTGTGTACTTGGACTAGTAAAAAAAGGTGCACACGAACAACTGGTGGTGAATTGACAGCTTGAACTTCCTACGTCAATTACTGCGTTGAATGTCAAGTACTGATTACTACATAATTCGTAAGTAATTATGATGATTATCCGTACTTAACTAATACTGTCAACAGTGTGAAGTGATGTACTCCATAGTCGAAGTATTTTATTAGACGTGAGTTTTTTTTTTTATTTTTTTTTTTTTGGGGGGGGGGGGGAGGGAAGGGGGAACGGAATTTGGCCATTATGCTATACAAGTTGCCAACTAAAATTTGATCTAGTGATACGGTTTGCACCTCACAAGTCACAATCTCAAGATTGTGGAAATGTGGGATCACAACTCGCTAGGGGTGCTTTGGGATTTCCTTTTCTTTGTTTTCTAGGCCTGATTGATTTGTAAGAGGTTTTACCCCATGTCGTTTTACCTTAAAAAAATTATAATATATTACTATATGACTAGACAAATTAATAAACAATTATGTATGTACTTCATTGGTTCCATAAAGATATAACGGTTCTTTTATAACCACATAGATCAAAAAGCATTATTAAGCAAATTAAATGACCGTTTTTATTGTTTATGTTTATATCAAACCTAAATCAACTTTAGAGAAGTGAGGAAAGGAGGAGTGGTATATATATATATATATATATATATATATATATATATATATATATATATATATATATATATATATATATATATATATATATATATGAAATAAATAATAAAAAAAATCATTTAAATGATATATCATTCGATTAGGACTACAATCGATTTGATTAATTCGAGTTGGATCGAATCGGGTTGGGTCGAGTCGAGAACTACACTGCTACCCACTTCATTCATAAGGCAAAATATAAATTTGTTAAAGAAATGACAAAGAAAGATATAACAAAGAGCGAAAGAAAGAGCATTGAATGCGTTGCCCAACTCCCTTAAAGACACATCATTTTGCAGCCCTTGTATTGTTTACTACCCACTGCCTTATTCCTTCATACACTCCACATTCCCTCCTTTATTCCCCTTTTTCTCTCTCCTCTTTTCCCTTCTTTTTTCTTCTCTATATATTTTCCTATCAAAAATATAAGTATTTATTATTTATAATTAATTAATAAAAATTCTGCCTCATTTACAATGAATCAGAGGTCTTCTGTAGAATCAGTTGAAGAGGGAGTATCACATCAGGTTTGTTTCCTTTTCTTTTCTTACCAATCTACATTGTATAATTTTCTTTTTTTAGAAATTTTTTATAGCCTTTTTTTTATTGTTTTCTTTGGTTTTTGCGTTTTTGCCTTTTGGGTCATTCTACAATGCAGTTTATTTGCTCCCTTTGTCCGGAATTAATAGTCGTAACAGCATTATAAGTTATAACTATAAGTGGGCATACTTTGAACTAGTAATGTGACAATTAAATTTGAACGGGGTGATAGTTTATTAGTGTTTGGTAACTATGATGAGAGTATTTGGATTTCTTTGTTGTGGGATCAATTGTAAATGGGTGTTTGATGATATGAAGTTCTTAAATATATATACTTCGTATAAATTTTTCCATATTAAGGTTTTTTTTTTTTTTTTTTTTTTTTTTTTAGTACGTGGGTATAGTCTGAAAATTTTGATTCATGGTTAGGGAATGAACTAACATGCTACTGTTCATACAGTGGAATAGATTATAGATAATGATAATGAAGAAAAATGTTTTGTTTTGGTCAAAATATGGTGAAAATTAAGAAGTTTGATGTAGTTTTAGACTCGCAAATTAGACTATGGACACATGTACACGATGATCATACATTCATACCAACTTTTCCATACAAGCTTAGAAAATAATTTATGTCATAATGACTTATTTTTATTCACCTGACTTTTAGTTGATTTTAAGTTAATTTAAAGTGATTGAAAATGAATTTGATGTTAAAGTTAATTTTTTGAAATGGAATTTTATGTTAAATTAGCAATTTTATTGTTTGGTGTTGTTTTAATTGAATTGTTAGTATTATACTTTGTATTTCAGTGTATACTTTCATTGGAAATCTTTGAATTATGGCACTAAATTAGCATGATTGTTGCCTTAACTTTCCTGATATGATGGTGTTTTGATTCAGAACTTTAAGCGTGTTTGGTGTTCAGCTGTGCTTACTCTGGCATATCAGAGTCTTGGAGTAGTTTATGGTGATCTTAGTACCTCACCTTTGTATGTGTACAAAACCACATTCTCGGAGAAATTAAGCCTTCGTGAAGATGATGAAGACATTTATGGGGTGCTTTCCTTCATATTCTGGACATTTACGCTGGTTGCCCTTTTCAAATATATTTTTGTTGTTATGTCAGCTAATGATAATGGCGAAGGTGAGCATTCATCGGATTATCATTGTCAATGATCAACATCTTTTATGTCCTATATCTCTTTTTAATTTATTTCGGTATTTCTTTTTAGGAGTTTATGAATCACTGTCTGAAAATGGACCATTGCAAAATTGATATTAAGTGGACCGTAAAATGATTATTAATGCCAGTTTTTTACTTGTACCTAGGCGGCACTTTTGCATTGTACTCATTGTTATGTCGGCATGCAAATCTTGGTATTCAACCAAACGATGAGAAGTTATCTGCATATGCCATTGAGAATTCAGAGCACACAGCAAGGAGTTTCAAGCTACCAATTGAGAAGCACGAACGATTTCATAAAGCTTTGCTGATCTTTGTTCTTCTGGGGACATGTATGGCTATCGGGGATGGTGTACTCACACCTGCAATCTCAGGTAACAGTCACTTTCTTTTTGCTGAAACCTGTGTAACTGTGTAGCCTACCTGGTATTGGCAGTTTATCATGCTATTTGGTTAAGTTTCTTATATTATATTTTTACTATGCATATTGACGAGTGATTATGTATGCGAAACAAAAAAAAACTTCTCATTTTTATCTGACAACATATTCAATAGAGGCAACCAGCCAACCACTAATCATCAGCAGAGCAAAATTTAAAGTGCCACAGTAATTTACTATCTTCTAATCCGACGTTTTGCCGACGTATCTTTTGGAGCTTACACATTAGAAGGCCTTACAATTTTTTGACCTGTTTACTTGTTCCTTTTCTGTGATTATTTTACTTTATGTAAACTCGTTTACTAGTCATCTAAGAATATCATATATTCTTTCAGTTCTTTCAGCAGTGTCAGGAGTTCGTCTGAAATTCACTGGACTTCATGAAAGTAAGTTCAACTTCTTTCAGAAGGCAAAGGAAAAGATAGGGAGAAAAAAAGCAGTACCAAAAAGTGTTTTAGAAATATGCAATTCAACTCCATTGTGATTTGAAATGCTTTCATTTCTTACAAAATTCTTCTTTTCGCAGATTATGTTGTTGTGATTTCATGCATCATTTTGATAGTCCTATTTTCTCTCCAACACCATGGAACACACAGAGTTTCTTTCATGTTTGCACCAATTGTCACAGCATGGCTTCTTTGTATCAGCAGCATCGGGGTTTATAATATAGTAAGATGGAATCCAAGTGTTGTTAATGCGCTATCTCCTGTTTATATGTTTAAGCTACTTAGAAACACAGGCATGGCAGGATGGATGTCCCTAGGCGGAGTTGTTCTCTCTATTACAGGTATTTTCACTCATGGTTTCGTTTTTGCTTATATAAGAATCACTGAAAACATGATATTCTGGTAGTTTTATAACAGGTGTGGAGACTATGTTTGCTGATTTGGGTCACTTTTCTGCTTGTTCAATTAAGGTATCTCTTGCATTTTCCTCTTCTTTTCCTCCATATCTTGGGCATGCTTATTAATACTTTGGCAATTCACTTTTTCTAGATAGCTTTTACTTTTTTGGTGTACCCTTGTTTGGTTTTGGCTTATATGGGTGAGGCTGCCTTCCTCTCTCGCCACCATGAAGATATCCAGAGGAGCTTCTACAAAGCCATTCCAGGTAAATATAAAAATGCTTCTCTTAATACCTCACATTATTGAATTTTGTTATCTTACTTTTTTTTTTCCTCCTTGTTTTGCCAAGAACCCGTTTTCTGGCCAGTTTTCATAGTGGCCACATTTGCGGCAGTAGTAGGAAGCCAAGCTGTAATAACAGCAACGTTCTCTATCATAAGCCAGTGTTGTGCTTTAAACTGTTTTCCTCGAGTCAAAATCATTCATACTTCAAGTGAAATATATGGGCAGATCTACATTCCAGAAGTGAATTGGATGCTAATGTGCCTATGTCTGGCTGTAACAATTGGATTGAGAGATACAAATATGATAGGTCATGCTTATGGTATGAGTCGGATTCTTTCTAAACTATGATACAGCTTCTATGAAAATTGACATTTGCTTGATTATGACTAAATACTAGTGTCTGGTGTGCTGAAGTACAGGTCTAGCTGTCACCACAGTGATGTTCGTGACTACATGCTTGATGGCATTGGTTATAGTTGTAGTGTGGAGAAAGAGGATAGTTATTGCAGTATCATTTTTATTGTTTTTTGGATCCATAGAGCTCCTTTATTTCTCAGCTTGCCTTTTCAAGGTTCCCGAGAGTGGTTGGATTCCTCTAGCTTTATCTTCAATCCTGATGGTGGTAATGTACGTTTGGAACTATGGTACATCAAAGAAACACCAATTCGACATGGAGAACAAGGTTTCTGTAGACCGGATAGTTGCTTTAGGCCCTAGTTTGGGCATGGTTCGGGTACCAGGTATTGGTTTTCTATACACTAACCTTGGCACAGGAGTACCAGCTGTCTTTGGACATTTTGTGACAAATCTACCAGCGTTTCACCAAATCCTGGTTATCGTTTGTGTAAAGTCTGTGCATGCCCCCTATGTTACGGAAGATGAGAGATTTATTGTTGGGAGAATTGGCCCCAAAGAATATGGCATGTTCCGTTGTGTTGTTCAGTATGGTTACAAGGATTTACTGCAGGAGAACTATGATTTTGAAAACAGAGTGGTTTCCGAGCTCATTAGGTTCGTAGAAACAGAAGAACATGACCCTGGAAAAGGTATTATGCAAGAAGCTGATACATCTACACACATGATAGAATACCAAAATCATGAAGCTGGTGCACTGGATTCGAAGTTAATGGATCTCAACCTTGGTAACTTGGATACTTTTATCCACAGAGATGAGTCGATCAAAATCTTGAGAGCAAGGGAATCAGGTGTTGCGTACATTTTCAGTCATTCTTATGCAAAAGCGAAGAAATCATCTTCGATCTTCAAGAAATTTGCTATCAATATCCTGTATGCTTTTCTAAGCAAGAACTGCAGGGGACCAGATGTTGCCTTAAACGTTCCTCATACTTCTCTGCTTGAAGTTGGCATGGTATACTATGTGTAGAGCAGTAGAATTAACAGCTTGACAAGTAAACTGTAAATATATGATAGCTACTTGACGGACTACCCTATCAAAATTACCATATACTACTACTCGTACCTCTTTGGCATGCTATTCGAGACAGTGATTAGAAAAAATAAACGGGAAAATTAAGTTTTATCAACAATAAGAGGAAAGGTTTCGTTTACTGTGGTTTAAATTATTATTAGATTAATTTGTCTGTTAATCTTCTCTAATCAGTCCATGAGATAGCATGCCAGAGAGGTTGCAAGTATTACAAAGTAAATATCTACTCCCTCCGTCCCAAAAGAACGACCCATTTGGCCAAAACTTTATCCCAAAAAGAATGACCCATTTGCATTAAAACACCACCAATTTGCAACAATATTTGTGCAAAATTAGCTTCCCCACATAAAAATTTCATTTCCTTGTTATTTTATTACTTTCTCTCTATTTTTTTACAAACCCCATGTAAATTTATCTTTCCAATATACTTTTACTTCTTTTTACTTAACTTCCTTAATACCCGCGTAATCAACTCAAATGGATCGTTCTTTTTGGGACGGAGGGAGTATAATATTATTAAAATTAAAACTCATGGGGATAATATGCTAACGACATGTGTTACTCATATGTCACATGTGCACTACACATTATCCTATGTGTCATCCCTCTTCTCTCACCATATTGAATTGTATTAATCTTTAGTTTCTTTAGAAAAACTCTTCATTGGTCTAACTGTAATGATATACTTCGTATAATACAGTAGTATTTAATTTAATTGAAAAACTTTTCATATTGACCTCTAATTACATTTTCATTTAGTTATTAATATTGTTGAACATTAACTCTTCTAAATTAATTTAATCAAACTTATAATTTATGATGATTCGGGGCATCGCCCGGATCAATAACTAGTTTTTCTCTATTTATCTATACATGTATAAGTTGTTTAGAAATGGGTACAAGATGAGCATGGACATTGGATAATACATTAGCATTTAAATCCTGCCCTTCCTTGTGAGTTAGAGTTGGACATTTTTTTCCTCTAAATTCAATGTGATCCAACACAAGTTGGAAGTGCGCTCAAGTGCTCAACTGTAACCTAAAGGGGCTGAAGGGGTAAAATGATAAGGGATACACTAAGATAAATTATAAAGCAAAGTGAGTAGAACAAAAAAGAAGGGCCTAAAATAAAAAAATAAGCACTCAAAACAAAAAAGAGAGACTAAAAGGTGATAAATAATAAAAATAACAAACGAGTAATTATGTAATATAGTCATCTTCTCTTACCTCAATACATTCATTGTAGATATTACGCAATACATTTGTATAAGCTATTTTTTTTCATCTATCTATTACATACTACTAAAAGCGAAACTAAGAGGACATTTGACAACATATCATTAAATATTTTTCATTCAAAATTACTTTCTTAAGAGAAATTCATTGTTATATAAAAATAAGGTCCATATTTTATTTACATTATAAATTTAAATTAATATATGGAAATTTTAGAAAATAACACCACAAAAAAACACAAATTTTGATTATAACACCACAAAATTTAAAATTTTGTTTGTAACACCACAAAAAAACTCACAAATTTGATTTCACCACCACTTAACGGATTCTTGGATGAAATCCGTTAGTGGGGCCATAATTTGACACGTGTCAATAGCCTATAGGTTTAAAAATTGAATTAATAAAAAGAAAAAAAATAATAATAAAAAAAAAAAGAAAATCCCTAACGCAGCTAGCTCCACCACCGGCGCCACCTTACCTCAGCCGCCGACACCGTAACCATGGTCGCCGGCACCCATTTGCGTCCACCAAAACCGGCGAAACCACCCACGCTGCCGTATTTTGCCTTCCCCCTCTTCGAAAACCACCCACGTCGCCGAAATTCTCACCCGCACCAACCCAAAAACCACCAGCTTCGACGAAATCAACTCCCACACAACCCGAAAACCACCCACGTCGCCGAAATCCTCTCCCACACCATCATCGTCGCCGATTATCCTCTCTCTTACCCAAAACCGTCGTCGAAAACCACCCTCACCTGAACCCTAACCTGTTTCCAGATTTCGAATTAAATCGGAGTAGGGGTGAGGCCAAGCTGGGTACGGCGTTTAAGGTTAGGGAGGTGCGTCGTTCAGGTGGTCGGGGGTCGAGGGTGGTCAACTGGGCGAACCAGTAGCGGCGGTGGGCAGGAGAAACCGACGCCGGTGGTGAGTACGGTGGTTGGGTTTGGATTTTAGGGTTTTTCATTTTTTTTGTTTTTTTTTATTTTTCTTTTTTTTAATCCAATATATATCTGACACGTGTACTTTGTGGGGCTCACTAACGGTTTTTTGGATGGTGTTAGAAAGTGGTGGTGAAATCAAATTTTTTGGTTTTTTGGTGGTGTTACAAACAAAATTTTAAATTTTGTGGTGTTATAATCAAAATTTGTGTTTTTTTGTGGTGTTATTTTCTAAAATTTCCTTAATATATAAATAAAATCTAACATATACTTCGTACTTCCTAAAATACCAATTTGCACATTTTTTTTATCAACAATTCACTTGCACATTATTTACAAAAAAAAAAATTACTTGCATATTATAACTATCACGAATCACTTATTTAAATATTTATTTCAAAAAAAAAAGTACTTATTTAAATATTTTCTCTTACATGTTTTTATTGTGTTTAATATATTTCATGTGTTTTAACAGCAAGTGAATCGATTTATGGGACGTTTACTAGTCTCGTGCGATGCACATTCAATCAAGCCTTAATCCCATAAGTGAGATCGGCTACACAAACCAAATTTGATTATTATTCCGTGTAACATCGACAAAGATCCTCCTTCTCCATCCCTTACTATCCAATTCCTCATCCTCATACAAATCCAAATATTTTATATCCTTCCTAACCCCTTCCAACCAAGTCATTTTCGGTCTCCCTCTCTCTCATTTAACCCCTCCATGGTCCCCCCCTTCCACTCTTCATACCGGTGCACCCTCGAGTCTCCGTCTTACATGCCCAAACAAACGCATACAAATTTTTCTCTTACTTTGTCTGCAATGCCTGCCACACCTACCTTCTTGCGAATAACCTCGTTTCTGTTTCCATCTCTTAAGAAGGTTCCCGTACATCCACATTTTCGTACCTCCATCTTTTTAATGTGCTCATTCTTAGAAGCCCAACATTCTGCCATAAAGCAACACTGGTCTTATGGCAGTCGTGTAGAATTTTCCCTTCAGCTATAAGGGAATGCTTCGGTCACATAACACTCCCGTGGTCTCTCTTCACTTAAGTCACCCCGACTTAATCATAAATGTGGGCCACGTCTTGATTAATGTCACTATTTTTCTGGATGATTGACCAAATATATTTAAAGCATTCGCTCATGGTCAAGTCCTTTCCATCCAAACTCACCACCTTATTGCTTGTCCCTCTCTAAGTGTAGGAGTTTATAGGTACTAATTGCGAAAAAACATGAATCATATTCATGCAATACCTAATCCCAAGATCTAATGCATAACACATAAAGAACATATAATTGTACCTTTGAAGCGTGATTCCACGTGAGATCGAGCAAGAAAAATGGGAGATAAATAATCCCAAGCGTGATTCTTCTACTTAGTCCACGAGCACGAATTAAACCTCCACTAATGCTAGTTAGTCGTGATTGAACGCTTCAATCAACTTTCAACGGAGAAAAGAGACAAACTAACCAAGAACCACCACAAACCACCACCCATGGGCGCCGGCCGTACGGATGTGTGGGGAGAGGGGAGGGCCATAAGGTGAGGAGAGTGTTTAGGGTTTTGGAACATGGTTGCCTTGATGTCAAATTTACTGTAAGTTAATTATGACTTACTACAACCCTAGGCATGGATCTTATTTATAGATCATATCTCTAAATAAGAGTCCATGTCGAGCCCAAACACATTATCCTAAACACACTACTCTAGCCCAACACTCTACATGGTATATCATAATCTCATGAGGCCCATTAATGGGCCTCTTACTTGTTTAGCCCAATACCCTTGTTGTGTGACCTCATAGGATCCATTCTATTGGGCTTTGGACTATTTAACTAGAACAAAGATTATTTGTCATATCTAGCAACAAACAATGACGACCCAAAAGAATGAACTTATTTTTTCCATAATAGTGATCCTTGATATATCTAGTAATTGCACTTATCGAAGACATAACTCCTTCAATCTCCCACATGTCTGAGATAAGTGCACAATATTCAAATTCCTTAAGTCAATGTGTGTCGATTTGATAATATGATTGCATCTCATGTCGTGATCATATTAGTCTACAAATCTTTTCTTGAAAAAACTGAGTTAGATTCACATAACAAATGATTACTATGTAATGTATTTGAGCACGGTCATGCATTTTCTGAATTCTCCCTCTTCAAGGGGTCAAGACACATTCCTAATTAATAGGTAGACTCTATCCAATCTTGTGGCAACCAAAGCTCCTACTCAACTCATGAAGCAGCCGGGAAACACCCTTTATAATCTCCAGTTACGGCTAGACGTTTGAGTGTACCACAGCTAAATCAATCATTGAATGGAATCAGTGTTCCACTCATGTCAAAGGAATCCACTAATATATCCGGAAGCTCTATACTTGAACTTCAAAGTAGGTCTATAGTTCGATCATGCATCATTCATGCATACCCATGTGATTGACCGAGCTTCACTACGCTCCTATAGCCCATGAAACTGCGCTATCCAATCAATCTTAGCATGCTAGTCCATTTATTGAAATCATTTATGTCCATTTTAATGATTTCGAACTAGGAACTTAAATAATAAATGGGTTTTGTTCACTTGTGGGGTTTATTCACCAGGTCATCAACCTGATGAGCCCATCAATCCATAACTATTTTGGACATTTTATTTAATATCAAAAAACCATAATTAAAAAAGATTGAAACTTTGTTTCAATTGATAAACATAATTATGCATTTAATGTATTACTTTTGTGACATGTTTTCTCAAAACATACACAACTCAAATTACATAACTTGCTACAATCCAAGAATCTTAGTATGACTCTCATATCTTGGTCATGGAAGGGGTTTAGTAAGTAGAGTTCATGAGACATTCTCATAAACATAAATTTTTGCAATTTCTAAATTTTATAATCATATTCATCTCCATTCACTAAGGA